ACAAACTCTTACCTGTCCAGCAGATGAAACCAAAGGGACTCGGCTTCCTGGGGATCAAGCCGAAAAGTATTTCTTTGGCAAAGAGAAACCGCGGCATTCTTAACTGAATGCAAAGCTTGCTCCTAGAAGAGATCGTGAACATTAAAACCATGTCATAACGCTTCTCACGTACCTCAGGAATGTTCGTTCCAGTGCTTGATGCAGTGCACATTATTGCAACTGCCGCATCAAGTTCATGGAATAACTTCGAAAGGTCACCCAGAATAAGAGTCAGAGCGCTGCCAACATCACCAGCTTGTTCGAGAAGAAAAGCCGCACCGTCTTTCACCCCATACTTCTGGCACAGCTTCAAACATTGTTCAAGCCTATAATTTTCATGGCCTTGAAGAAAATTCAGTACGCCACTAGGCTCAAGCTCGCACATAAGCTGTGAAAAAAAACTGCGCTTAAACGGCAAAAATGGTAAAGGTCATATCAAACCTCTATATATTCCTCGACCATGTCATCCGTGACCTCCAAACGCATGTTTTCCAGTAGCGTTGCTAGTCGAGATCGGTCATCCCAGGGATCGCAGTCGACTTCTGAGACTTGCACATCACTAATAGTATCTGAGATGGCACGGACTTCCATAAGAGCTTTCAGGAAGTTAAACAGAGAGAGTGGAAACGGTTGTAAGGCTTTCACCACATCGTCGAGTTGGTCATTGAAGTATTCAAGAACTATATAGAAAGCTGCAATCCTGTAAGATAAATAATAATAATAATAAACACTAGTTAAAGCACTGAAAGAACAAAACAGAAACTAGGTGTTTTACCTGTTCTTCTGTACAAGGTGATGAATACGAGAGATTACAGCCGCACGGAATTCTGTCAATGCAGTTCCCTTGAGGCCATTGTCCCGATCAAGCTTAGATATCACGAAGTTAAAAGTATGGCGTGGTCGAGAAACATCCTCTAGGTGACTATAAAGTGCGGATATGTGGTCTCCTTTCCGTGTATAGACCAACGCGGACAGCTGCGTAGGAAGATTCTATACAAAGAATTTTCAGGAACAAGCATGCTTACCCGCCAGAATTGAGTTTTCTTAGCTAGCTCAAGAACAGCATCAGGATCCCAGTCTTCCGCGGGAACCGCCTCCAAAACTTTCACCGTAAGTTCCTCGCGATCAGGGAGAATGCTTTCTTGAGTATTGTCCAGAAATAGATTTAGAATCCGATCTAGTGTTGTAGGAGGTATAGAAGCAGCCCCAGCAGATACATAGTCGGCAATAAACTGTAAAATGTAGCTTGTCTTGTCAATGAACTCGGTGTCCATGCATAGAACTGTTTCGACAATGTGCACAAGAGGATCAATCGTTAGCTGGACCAGATGTCCTTCAGCCTCCTTTACGTTCCCCAAAGCTACTTTGAAAACATCCAGGGTGGCCGACACATCCAGGTTGAGTAGATAATGAAGCCTCGGATAAACTGCATATACCGACTCTGCATCTCTTCCAGAGCCAGCGGGGTCGAGTAAATACTCCAAAAGCTGTATTTTGAGTCCATATACTTGTTCAGCAGGTAATGATCCACGACCTTAAGCATGAGTATGATATGAGCAAACTTGATAAAGCTGTAAACAGACGGACGTACCAGGAGGAAACGCAAGACCAGAGAAGCAATACTTGAGATATACCAAAAGTTTATACCTGACAACGGAGAAATAAGCTTTGCTTATGCGAAAGCATGTAGAACATACCCAAAAGACGAAGCATTTTCCTGATGTTGATCCTGCGCAGCGATCAGCAGTTCTTCCAATGGCGATTTGAAGTCATTTAAGCCCTTGTTATAAAGATAAATCAGAGCGCTGAATAATCCATGCTCCCGGCAAAGTCTCATAACCTTAAAACACAGTAGGAAAAATGACAACGAGCGTACAGAGACGCAAACCTGGTTGAAGTCCAATGACGCAATATCCATGTGAAGAATGCACTGTTCGACCCTTTGCAACCACCCCTTGCTGCTGTAGTGCTCAACGAGAGATTGCATGATCTGAAACAGCCGGCTTAAACAAACATTTGTATAACTTTTAAGGCAACAAACCTCTGGTGCAAGGCCGCAGAGCATGTCTTTCAGAATGTAAGGCTCCAACAGTTCCAGAAATGTTGCTGAACGAACAACACAAAAACATTAGAGCTACCTCTTCAAGCGCTAAGAGATGTACGTACCTGCTTGAGCGATCTCATCAAACTTTCGAAAAACGTTCTCAAAAAGTACGTCGGTCCTGCTGATATGTACACAAAACTCTATTGCAACCCGCCCGACTCTTGCATACTGTTCCCTGGCAGCTTCAGTTTCAGGCATACCAAGAGCCAAACGAACATAAGCGAAAGCTTCATCGATGTACGACGACAGCAATGCTAGAAGATTTGGCATAATAGCTTCCTGCATTGCACGAAGCCCAGAAGGTAAGCCAGTAACACCTCTTGCCCGTCCATCGAACAACTCCATTGCAATCTGGAAAGCGCCCATCCAGTCACCAGCATCCTGAAGTGCCTTTATTCTGTCCTGCCAAGGAAGTAGCCGAGCCCTCCAGAGCTTTGAAGCTCCCAGAAAATAAGATGCTGCCCCTCGGACTCCTATAGAGTTTCCATAAACTTTCTCAGAATTGTTGCACGTCTCCAGAAAGTAGGTGTGAAACGTCAAAGGCTCTGTGTGCCCGTCATTGTCTCGTATGGCAGCACGTTCAAGTGCAAGACCTTCCTTTGTGAATAGACAAAGTTCAGCTTTGACAGTGGCGACCACAAGCATCTGTCAAAACAATATTGTTAAAGAGGAACAGTCTCAAACAAGTTCGTTTTACCTGGTCACCAAGCCAAGCTACTCCAGCGGCTTTGTTATCAATATCCCATTCAGCCAGCACTTTAAGATCGGCCTTTTGAAGTTGAAGAACAAGGACCTTCTTTCCCCAGGCAAGAGCAAGCAAAGGCTCGTCTTGACCTTGGGCAGTGCTTTCCGACTTTATAGATGAGACACCCCTCCAAGATGCATACGGTATCGACCCCTCTCGAACACCTTCCGGCCGTGTTAGTTTCGCGCATATTTCTAAAGCAGGCAATAATCGAAACTGCAAAGAACGTCAGTGTAGTTACCATGATAAACAATATCAAATATTTACCACAAGAGCAATCTGCTGTGTGACAAATACAACCAGGCCCCCGGTTTCGTCAGACGAAGAAGATCCGTCGTACAAAAACTTTCTTCCCGCATCGTTTCCAGCTGCCCCAGTGATACCAGACCCTGTAATATTCTGAAGTAAACTTTCAGTCAGCAGCAGAGGTGCCAGTGAGAGGACAACACCCGTCCGTTGGCCATCTAGAAGGCACTGCAAGTAAGACATGGTCAAGCCTACTCAAAATGAAAATAAGATACCACCTGTGTTGTGACTGAAAAGCGGCGCAGCAGTGGAACAAGTGTGAAGGTATGGAGCATCACCACCCCTTTACAATCTGCAGTCATGGCTTTTAAGGGGCGACCTGTTGAACCGTCCTGTCCTACAAATGCTGCATGAACTATCACGTTGTGATGCTCTCCTGTGACGGCTTTAGCTACCGCAGCTTTTGGAACGTCCCATAGTATCAGAGACCCATTAGTATATCCCACTAGAAGCAGGTCTCCAAGAAAGCTGAAGCACATCACACTCGCAGAGGCGTGAGACTTGTCTGCGGCATTACTCAAGAGAACCACCTGAGCATACAAAAATGTGAGTTCCATATAGCAAAGTAAAAGGAAATAGTCACCTTAGCTTCGTTGTTGTCTGCTGTGGTAGTGGGGGAGTACTTGCTTAAAGACAAGAGTACAGTACCTTTCGACATTCCCACCGCAATGAAGTTTGCTTGAACTGCCAAGCACCGTGGATTCCCGTGGTCACGCATCATGGCTATGGAAGAAAGCGCAAAGGACAGAGGTCCACCCCAGTCCAGCTGCAGCAGGCCTATGGCTGGAGGCCCGCGCTGAATGCCTTCCAATTGCATTGGCTGCGCCGCAGCTCCTTCCTCCAAGTGAAGACCAGAGTTCGCTGCTCGTTTCTCCCGCTCTTCTGCCTCAACCATTAGAGACTTCACTTCTTCCACTTCAGGGGAAGTATGTTCATCAAAAGCCTCCTCCAGCTCGCGCTCTTCGGAGCTTTCAGTCGATGATGAGCCGTCTTCGCCTCGTTCTAGCTTCTCGTCGAGTATCTGGACGGCAACAAGGTCGCTCTCGTTGTCCTCGGTAAGATCCACGGTATTTACAGCCACTTCTATCCTCTCGTCCAAAACCTCGCTACCTTCTAACGATGATGAAACTGTGTCCTCTGTCGAGAGAGAAACCGGCGTCGCCTCCATTTCCACTTGGTCTCTCTTCGCAGCACTTGTATCCTCATTGCTACCGAATTCTATCGATGATGAAACCCAGTCGAGTCCCTTTTGCTCTTCCTCTTCTTTTTCTTCGATCTCTTCTTTTTCTTCGTTCAAGCTGCCCGACTCGTCCGGAGTTTCACTAGCAACATCCCTGAGAGACGAAGCTGTGCGAGTAGTCGTTCCACTGTGTCTCGAAGCAGCAGTAGCAGCCGCCAAAGCAGCGCCAGGCTTTGGACTTGGCTTGGTGGTCACCTGATAGAATGAAATCGTGCCACTGATGTCCCATAGCCTTGGAGCAGTCTTGGACACCCCTGTACTCACTAAACCCGCCTGTGATCCCTGGCTCTCAATCCCGCTCTCGAGCTTCTTCTCCGGGATCGCGGCCGAAATATCCGAATTTCGCTCCACATCATCCTCCTCCTCATCGGCATCGAGTAGAATATCGTCGATGCTTCTGTCGAGCTCGGGAAGATCGGCGTCGTCCTCGTCGCTGCTGTGAGCATCGAGTAGCGCATCCAGATCGATGTCGTTTCCCGCCATCGGTGGATGGAATGCGTCATAGCCAGCTTACCGGAGCTCCGCGGATCCAACGCGTGAGCTCTCCAAAACCTTGATCCATCACGAACCCTAAATTACTGGCGTTGTATGGGTCTTATGATTTATTTTTAAGCCTCGAGTCAATCACTTGCAAAAGATTTTCCAAACCAGTGCCTTGCGTTGCCGACGTAGAAACTCGAGCTATTTTTCCATCCTTCAAGAGCTGTGTTCCCCATAGCTCAACTTCTTCGTGCTCGACGCTTTCACTTTCTTCTTTGTGTTCTTCCTTTACTTCTTCTGGATTCGAGACTTCGATTCCATTTGATAGAGCGTTGGCCGCTGCCACTGCTTTCCTGTACTCCTCTGAGGACGGGATCACCAGGGCGTCTTCGTCATTGCCATCGCACAGAAGCAAACCCGGTGGAAGATCAAGATCGCCACAATCTGGATGAACATCGATCTGAAAAAACCACTAGAAACTTGTAACACAGCGTCACGCCAAGCATGCACCCACCTTGTTCATCACTTCAATCGTCTTCTCGTCTAGATCTTGTTGAGAGACTCCTATTTCTCCCAGGACTTTAAGAACTGCCTCTCGCTGCTCGTCCATGTTTGGAGCGCTCGAATCCATGACATGCTGAAAGCATGGAACAGGCTACCTTCAATCAGGATCAAAGAAGCGTACTTACCAAAACAATGTCCGCAGCAACAACTTCTTCTAGAGTTGCATGGAACGCTTCCACGAGCTTCCAAAATTCACGCAAACATAAGTAGATGTTGAGTGCTTGAGAATCTTCACAAACCTGAGTAGGCAAGTCCGATATGAATCCAACGGTGTCACTCACCAGGACCCTTCTTCTGCAGAAACACAGCAATGAATACAACAAGAAAGAGTCGACACTATTTTACCCTGAAGGAAGAATCACACTTCGCACCTGCGTGTCTAGCGTTGCAAACAACCTATGAAACAGAGCGATAAAACTTTACTTGAAAAGAAAAGCGTTTCTCATGAACCTGTCATCCGAGTAGAGGCTGCTCTTTGATAGAGCTCCAACAAGTGTTGACTTCCCCTGCAGTGTACTGCTATCTTGTTTCTCAGCAATCAACGCATAACAAGACTGTCAACTTACAGCATTCGTGTATCCTACGACTGCAACCAACGGAATGCCTTCTCGGTTGCGGCGATGCAGTGATCGTGTCTGCTTTGCTTTCGCAAGAGCGACCTGGATTTTATGCTTTTGATCCGAAATCCTGGTTGAAAACTAAATATCAAACAAGAGAGATGACAAACCAAAACAAAAAGCCCTGTACCTCCGTCGTTGTAGCTGCAATTCCGACTCTCCTGATCCGCTCGTAAATCCTCGACCACCACCACCACTTGCTCTCCTATGAAGAAGGAAAAAAGGAATTACGAATTTCTTCCTCAATGACAAGAAGTCATTTTACCCTCGTGCACTCACAACCTCCTGCTCTCCACCAGCTCCAAACGCCTTTCGTTCTCCTTTTTCTCGGATGAGCCTTGTTCTCTTAAAGTCTAGAGCAGCAAGTTCCACCTGAAAGACACCATCATATAATCAACACACTATCTATTTGAAGTTACCTGAAGCTTGGCTTCTTTGGATCGTGCACGACTGCCAAAAATCTCGATGATCAAGCCCACGCGATCGAGAACCGGCCTTTCCCAAGCATCCTGTAAGAAAAATTGCAACCAACATTCAAAGAGAAAAACTTTAAACAAAAATCGAAGAAAGTGGAGATATCTAATCACCTCCAGATTACGTTGTTGGACGCCGGACAGGGAAGTGTTCACGAACACGGCATCGATCTCTCTATCCTGCCAGTGTGACTCTCGTGCTTAGCTTTTACAGAGCTAAAAGAAAGAAAGCTTTCCTTACTTCCACGTCGATCACGTTCAAATGCGTGCGAATATTGTCAATAGTCCCCGCTCCAAAATAGGTGCCTTGAAACAAAAGAATTCACTCACTCGAGAACGAGAAGCGATCGATGCGAAACAGACTAAAAATCACCTGCATTGATCTTCCTCCTGCCCTGGACAAGCACATACGAGGGGAAATCCGACTTGAGATCCGTGGCAGTGAGGGGCGCGAGTGAATTGGCGAGGCGCAGTGCCTCGAGGAGCTTGGCCTTGAGCAGCAGCGGCGGATGGAAGCGCGGCTGGACGACGAAAAGCTTGTCGTAAATCGATCCCACTCCATCCGCGCGCGACGAGAAATGCCGCCTTAGCCCCGACCACGCCACGCCCAGCCACTTCATTCACAAAACCCTAAACCCTAATCCTTTAGCTTACCTTTTAAGTGTTGTCTATAAAATAAGAACTATATTTTGGGAAGATAGGGCATGGAGGATTCCAAGAAGGAAATCATTGGGGGATTGCTAGTAATAGGGGCGCTGGCCGTAGTGCTTTCACTACTACTTTTACCATCTTTTCTGCCATTCACCAATCGTCACGAACCATGGTGCAACTTCAAGGACATTAAGGTTTCACACGTTGAGCTCCCATCAAACTCAACTCCAAGGTTTGTTTCCAATCTAGAGCTCCAGTTTACCTGCTCGAATCTCAAGCATCGCAAGCACGAAGATCTGCTGGACGTGAAGTTTGATGCAATGGACGTAACTTTGAGCTACCGTGGAGTGGAGCTCGCCGTCCAGCAGTTTCCATTCCACACCTTTATGCTTCCGAAGAGCAGGAGTGTTTCTGTGACACGGAGGCTTCTGGTGAACGAGACGAGCCTTTCCGTGGATAAGTTGGAGCTGTTTAAAGCTGATGTCGCATCGGGAAAAGTTCCACTCTCAGCAGCAATTCGTGCTAGTGCTCAGTGGATTGACCAAAAGCACTCATCCGATAGCTCAAACTACTTGCAGGCTGATCTTACCTGTGACTTGGGCATGCTTCTTTCACAGAAGGGTGAAACCAATGCGCAAGATATTGTGTTTGATGGTCAGCAGCTGTGCCCTGTTTACTTGTACTGTCCCTATTCAAGGTAGTAGTTTATAACTTCACACTAGCATATGCCATGTTTTAGTTTAGTTTATGGTAATTACTATTGTAAACTTTGTTGTTTCAATTGAGTAAGCTAAAGCAATCCTGTGTTGGCTGTTGTCCAGTGCGATTTCTCAGTCCTGTCACTTACAAGAAAGGATCGGACATAAGGAGATGCTGTTTTATGCACCAGAAAGGTGGCACCACTCTTTTTCTTTCATAGCACAAGCAGACAGAGCCATGATCACTGTGTAGAAGTATGCCCTTTGTTCTCCTTTTGTTTCAGATTCTCTTAAAGGCTAAGTCCACCTAAAAGACACCATCACATAACTGGCACACAGGACAGGACATCTTGCTATGGCACCATTACCTATTCTTCACCATGACTAGGTCTTTCATATTACATGGCAGCACTTCTCTACCTTCTGATTGCACACTTAGTAATTAAACACTTTTTGATGGCACACCGAAGTTTTAATTTATATGGTACAGTTGTGTTGGCTAAGCCTTGGGTTGTGGATTCATCATGATTAAGGCACTTGGAATGCCACCACTTAGATGTACGGGATGTTTCAAGGGGCACAACTCATGTCAGAGGCTATATCATTAGAGTGCAAAAATGTAATTTTAACTTGGACTCAAGAAGAGTGGCTCACTTTTGGTTATGATTCCAAATGGATAATGCAAAGGGTATGGTTATACTTTTATGAGGCTATGGGATTGGTGTGGCAACACTACACTTGCATAGCCTAATGGGGGGCTGGAAACAACAATCCTAGTTGAAAGGGATTAGTCAAATAGTAGAAGGAGAGGACTTTTAGGCAGTAGTAATGTCACTATTACTAGAGATTGTATAATCTTCCCTAGTTTATTGCACCATGGGATTTAAAGTTGTATATTTTCAAGGGCTTTTTATATCTCTGGGAGTAAAGTTTATATATTTGTACAGCACATGGTTGAAAGAACAATATAACATCTAATCTACAATAAAATCTCGAAGAAACTTAAGTCCCAAAGTTTTAATATGGGTTTAATCAAAGAAGTTTAGAATTTTTAAACTTAAAAATTTACATTCTAGTTTTGATCAAGATATCTTCATATTTGAGATATTAAATACAATTTTTTTAATTTTTTATACTAACACTTAGAATAATTTTCTATGCAATGTTTAGTTTTCTTAATAGTAGTGTTATTCTTATTTATTAATTCAAGTGATCAAATGTTTATAATTTACAAACACGAAATTAATATTATTGCATGTCAACCATTTAGAATAAACTAGAATATACTAGGAAGTGTTTAGGAAAGCTTATATATTATAAACATGTTTTTAAATTATAAATACAAAATAAATATAAATGAATAACAACTAAAATATTCAAGCATATTCTAGATGTATACACTGGTTTTCTCAAGCCAAAAATGCTTTAAGACTATACTTTATATTTTCATATGTTTACTGTACACTTATATCACCGGATATACAGTTATTCTCAATAAAATATACTATAAATTAGTTTATAGAGCTACTTAATAGCTTTGATGTTATTTGAGAATGAGATAACAACTAAGTTATCTCATTTTTATTTTTTACATTAATAACAAATAATGTTCTTCCCGCCACGTGTCTTGGCTTAGCAATAGTCACAAGTTTGACTAAAGTTACCAGCTTTTACGTGGTGTCCAAATCACGATAGCAAATAAAATCTCTCATCAGTTAACTTATAACATCCCATGGCTAATTCACTTTTATTGCTTTCTCTATTCCTCTCATCCTTAAACGACTGCCACATTCTTGTCCTTGTGAGAGCTGCAGATCCCGATCCAATCCAGGACTTTTGCATCCCACGGAACAATATTAGTGAAGGTTTCATGAAGTGCAAGCCATGCTCGAGCTTGTTTCGCGCCAAGGTGGATACCTCACACAAGCCCAACGCGTTTGATTTCGCTCAAGCTATTGTCAGCACATTTCCGGCACTCAACACGATGGGATTGTCCGTGGCACGAAACTATCTCGGCCCCAAAGGAGTTGCGAGAGCTCATGCTCATCCTCGGGCAAGCGAGCTCATCTATGTGGAGAAGGGATTTGTGGAGGCCGGCTTTGTGGACACTAACAACAGGCTCTTTGCGAGGAATTTGACCGCGAGCGATTTGTTTATAATTCCCCGTTGAGTTCTTCACTATTTGATCTTCATGGGGAAGATCACGCTACAGTTTTGGCCATTTTAAACAGCGAGAATCCTTCGTTCCAGATCCCATCCTTTTCTTTGTTTGGACCCAAGTTGAGTTACAAGGTTTTGGAAGCGACTTTCAGTCTAGACAGGAGGACCATTGATAAGTTGCATGAGATTTATAAAATGTTTGTTTAGCATGTAAATCTATATTTGAAAATTGGGATATTCCATGAATGTGGACGGAACCTCTCGCTCTTGGACGAGTCGGGTGGCCGTGCCAATGAATGGATCAACCAGTAACTAAAAGCTCTTCGATAAACTCTTAGATCGATCCACTCGATCTCTTACAACAGTTGGATGAATCGAGCTCAGGTCCACCGAGTCTGGCTTGAAAGGCATGCTGAAAACAAGCTCGCTCGCGTCTCGGCGAAACGCTGCCCGACATAGTGTGTCAATGACGCAGCTATGGAGTTTCTTACTGGGCACCACGAAGAAATCGAAGCTTAGGCAGCTAAAGCATCGACGAGCAGCATCAACGTGGCCGGATCGACTGCAAGCCAGCAAGATCGAGACGAAAGAGCTCTCATCTGGACGTAACCCATCGCAACTCATCGAGCTCAAGATCTGGAACGCTCTTTGCGAGCAAAGGCTAGCGCTCTCGGATTGAGCGCAACAAAAGAGTTTCAAACTGAGACGTCAGCCAAAACTAAGAATTCGCTCGTGTTTCTCGAAAGGTGGCGATGGCATTCTTTGCGAGCAAACGTAGAAGCCATGACACTCCACGCAACGAAGTTTCTCTCCGCCATGGAGTGAAAGATCGAGGCAGCGTTTCGAACGAATCCATTGCGCGCGTATCCGTCGAGCATAGCGGTCCAGGAAACCAAGCTCGCCTCCTCCATCGCCGCGAAGATATCCTCGGCCTTGGACAGATGCCCGTTTTGGGCATACGCTGCGAGCATCGCTCTGCAGGCGATGAGATTCCACTCGGCCATGGCACGAAAGAAGAAATCCTCGGCGCTCGCCATATCTGAAGCTTGGATGTAAGCCGAGAGCATCGAATTCCAGGAAGAATCGATCTTGGCAGGCATGGAATCAAATAGCTTTCTCGCTTCGACGGTATGCCCTCGCTGGGCATACGCGGTGATCATCGCGTTCCAACACAGCTCGTCCCGGACGGGCGTAGAATCAAAGAGAAACCGCGCCGATCCCAAATCCCCCGAGCCCCGAGCGAGCGTGTGGATCATGGTGGTGATCGTGATGGCGTCGTGCTCCGGCATGGCGGCGAAGAGGATACGTGCGCGGCACAGATGCCCTCTCTCGGCATACGCGTCCAGCATCGCATTGCAAGAGACGAGGTCGCGGTTGGGCATCTGGGCGAAGAAGAGCTCTGCCAGTTTGATCGCCTCTTCTCCCTCCATTCCCCTGCCACCAAGAATGCCGAGAGCATTGTGTTAAAGGAGACAAGGCTCCTCTCGGGCATGGAATCGAAATGGAGGCTGGTGTATAAAAATGTCAGCGAGGACGAAAAATGCATGTTTAAATAAAAAGCCGAGTTATATAAAAAATTGATAATTTTGAGGATTTGGTGAAATGTTTATCTACTACAACATTGACACAACCTTTTGGTCATAAGCTTATAAAAGTGACAAGATCAACTTTAAATGATCTTAACTAAGCGAGCCCATATAGCTAACAATTTTGCACTATTCCAAGTATGAGTATGTAACTATAAAACAAGGAAGACTAGTGCTTTTGAGCAACAAAGAGCCTAAATGCTTCCAAGTTAAATAATGAAAGATTTATAAAATTTTGTGAGCTATACATTGATCTAGAGCAAGTTCTACAGTCAAATATTTTACTTGGATTGGAAGAATATTATATAGTAAGCAAATTACTATATAAAAATTACACACTCCAGTTGATTGTTTTTGTGGATGACAATAATATGGCAATCCTCCACAACACTGTGATCAGTTTATATAGTTATGTCCTATGGAAATTTTGCACACATAATCTATGTAGTGTCAATTATCCAAAAACCAAAATAAATACTATATATTTGGTTAGTTAAAGAAGGGGTGAAATTGATGAATTTAGTTGAAACATGTTTTAAATTTAAAATAAAAACGCTTTATAACCATAACCACAAGCTTACCTTTAGCATTTTTCTCAAGAAATTCTAAAACAACAAATAATGAATGTGTGAAGATTACAAATATATAGTTAAAAGAAGCAAAGACAATATATTCAAAGGCATTACAATTGAACATGGAAGTTAAGAATCTCAACATTAAACAACAATACTATCATTACAAATATATAATTCTCAATTATGGATTTGATATTATAAATACAAAGATTTACAATATCAAAACAAACTAATTCCCAAGTTGCACTTACACATGCTTCCTGCAATGTTATACTTTTGGTGAGTCTTTAATCCATTAAAAACATAAGTATTTTATATATTTTATACTTTTTGGGAAGGATTTAAAGGTTAAAATTTGGATTCACCATAATATTTTAATATGAGTGGTTCATAACATTAAGAAAGAATTAGATATTGGTATTATATTTGAATTTAAAATATTTATTAATGTGAGGTCCAAGTGTACAGTTACAATGCCGTATAATAATATTAGCATAGTGAAATTTTGGTAACTATTGGATTGATTTCAATCTAGACCATTCTTTCCTATATATAATTTAGTGTTTTTGAGTTAATTGATATACACATGTTTTATATTCCCTTTCCATATTCCATGCATTCACATTGGTGGAGGTGGGGCATATTCAATTATCTCTAAAGAGTGCTTGAATTCGGGATTTTTGGTTTAAATTTAACTTTTGCATTCTCTAGATCTAATTTTTTCATTTCATTTCTTTTGTTCTTTCCTTTCAGGATTTTGATTTAAATTTAACTTTTGCATTGTCTAAATCTCCCTTTTTTTAAAACTTTTTTCATTTCATTTCTTTTGCTCTTTCCTTTTCATTCATCTTCATGGCATAATAGTAATCTTTTCTTCCTTTGACTCTAGAGTAGCAGTTGGTGTAATTGCTTGATGTTATATGATTGTGATTGAACAACCAAACTCAGTTGATAATGGCATTCACGGCATGTGGTACAGCTCCTCTTGCTCTTGGTGCCAATCATCGTGTTCGACTAGAGTTCTTTCATGGGAATCCTAGAGATGATGTGTACCATTGGTTCAATTACTTCATGGTGATTGCCACATATTATTCTTGAGATGATGTTTGACGTTTATGTGGGTTTCTTATGTGTCTCCAAGGACAATGCTGTAGTGGTACAATGGTTTGAGTATAGTCACTCGTGAGGATTGGAGTATTCTCCCGGACGTCTTCAAATGTGCACTCAGATATGCTAACAATTGTGATAATGCATTTCAACAATTACATCATCTTCGTCAAGGGTCATAGGAGTCGATGATATAATTTGGTGTTCGTTTCCGAAACCTTTTGTTTCATGCGAAGCCAAATATGTCAAAATGGATCAAACTGAGAATGTTATAATTAACATTTCATCAAGATCTTGTAAAACTTGTGCATGCACTTATTATAACCACCCTTGATGATGCCCTTCACTTAAAATAATATTATGAGATGTCACATTTTCCATTTCTCACTTTGTCGAACAACTTGTGTTGCAAGCTGCAGTGTAGACTTCGACCATACTTTCACAATTACACTTGCTTGATTCCCCGTTTGTGATGCTCTTGACTCTGGAGAAACTTATCTGGCCACTATGCCCTATACTGCTTCTTCTCATCAAAGTTGAGATTTGAGTGCCTGCAAGAATAGAGAGCAAAAGTAGTACGTTTGCTCTACCTTCCAATCCATGTTCCGAGCCAGTTGTGTCATAACTTCCAAATCTGGCGACTTCCACCAGTCAACCCTTGTATGTGATCTCTGGGTGAGATCACCGTCAGTGAGCAAGAGCCTACTGACTTCTTGCTCTGCAACTTCATCTCCTTGAAGATTGATTCTACACAATCTTCCCTGTGACAACACATGCACTGTGCTGACTTACGTGTCACTGCCAGTGTTGGCAGGACACTTTGCGGAGAATTCCAGTGTACCATTGCTGTGGGAACTACGAGTGTGAGCATCCAGCTGTTTCTTCTCAGTCTGAGAATCGTCCACCACAACTTCCAGATGATCCGTCACTTCGATCTGCCACCCGGGCTCCTGAAAGATCGCATTCCTGCGCTGCTTCCTTTGAGATAACATGCATTGCTCAATCACAAAATGCTCTCCACAGTATAGGTATGATATTTCAAAAAGAGAAATGGATATCTTTCCAATCCTAATGTCCTACTTGCAGTGACACGCCACTTTGCATACTTTGAATAATGAAACTCTTTTTTTCCTCGTTTTTCAACTTAGCACTCATTGAATGTGATCATGGAGACACAAGCCATCAGCGTGCACAAACTACTTCCCTACAGGAAACTGGGGAAAAGAAACACGAGATAAATATCTATCCATTGCTGTTTTGATAGTCTCACGGTGCCCAACCGAAAGCATGAGACTGATAGATGCAAAAATGCAAGTTGGATTATCTTTGTCATGTAGATGGCATCCTTGTTGTCTTCACGCTCCTGCCTACCAGTCTTCTTTTTCTCGGCTGGTGGAGGTCTCTTATTATGGTTGCCTCTATTGCAGACACAACATATCAAAGTAGTTTCATAATGTCAGAGGCAAAAGCAAAAGAATTAACCCATCTGGGTACTGGAATAAAAGCCAGTTTGTCACAGACGGTAGAGCAGCAATCCAGTGACCCAACAGTGGAAGGAACTAGCACCATCCGGTTTTACTTCTTCATCGTGGATCTCTAGCTCCTCAAGTGGTCAACCATAGTCAACACCAGTAAAATCGGTCAAAACGCTTGGAATGATTGAAAATAGTTGGAGATGCCGGGTATCGATCCCAGTGCCTCTCACATGCTAAGCGAGCGCTCTACCATCTGAGCTACATCCCCTTAGAATAGAAACAAAAATGCAAAGCTTTTCTCTTCACCAGTCTAGTACTCATCTTTGGAGATTCCAGCCATCTTTTGTCACATTTCAAGAGTTTTTTGATTGATTCTAGAGCTCTAGCTATGGAGGAAAATACTCAAGGTCATGAGATCTCATCTTGGCAATGTCTTATTAAGTGCTCCAGGTTTAAGGCCGAGGGATTTGTGGAGCATACCCCTGAGAATCAAAAGAGATGCATGTGGAATCCACAGGATGGGTTGCTTGATGCGTACGACAGGGCACTCCTTGCAAAGCTGGCAACCATGAAGAATGTTACTAATGCTTATAATAATAATACATATAGTAATAGTACAGAGGAACAAGGCTAGTGAATTATTTTGCTTTGCAGTGTTATTCAAGATGGGTAGAAGCAATTGGTAAAACCAAGACAATATAAATCAATTGGTATGATCTTTAGTACCAAATAAATACTAATATTATTTGGTATTTTAATTTGCTAGTAAACATATTTAGAATTTTTTTTAAAATGAGTAACTTTACTTTTTCCTTTTTTACAAAATATCGAAATCACATGCTTTCGAAGTTTAAGCGTGCTTGCTTTCGGTCTCTGACAGCCCCTGAACAAACGAACGGAGAAATCGGGCACGCTTGATCAATCCAAAGAAACTAATCACTAAAAGCTTACTAGGTGATGGATTTTGTTTCGAGGATGACAAAACGGCCTCTTTCCATTCCTCGTATTCTAGGCATGTTGTCCTGCCTGGATCCTGCATGCAAACCAAACTAATGTCTTTAGAACCTGGAAGTTGCAACAAGCAGATCGACGCCTTCCTACTGACCTCGAGATTCGTGGCATCCGACAGAGCTGCAGAAGAAATGCTCGCACTGTGAGATCAGGCCTTGCAGAAAAAATATCGAGTTCTTTGCATACCTCTCTTGCATCCTCTAGTTCTTGATTCGGATTTCTCTTTCTCAACACCGACCAAATCGAAGCAGATATCTGTCATAGACGCGGCAACCTGTAGAAAAATAAAATCTAGAATCGGCAATACAATTGCTCGTTGGAGCTTACGTTGGAAAACTCAGGGTCCGACGTGCTAGACACCTCCATCAATTTAGCTTTGTCAACTTTAAGCTGTTGAAACATACAAAAAAAAGACAGTAAAACCGTGAAAAAAAGCATTGGAAACTGCTTGCCTTTTGCTTTCTCGCGCATAAATAAAACGCGACGCTGGTGAATACAGGGCGATCGAAATCAGCGCTTCGACGTCGTGCTTCTGGTAAAGTGGCCAAAAATCGCTCTTTGTATCTGGAGCAAAACGTAGAGAGAGCCCGTAAAGAAATAAACTAAAAGGAAAGAGGAAGCTCTTACGCTGCCAAGACTCTCTGGACAGCTTGTATGAGTCTCACGCATCCAAATTGCACAGCGAGCTCGCGCACATTCAAGCTTGTCCTGAAGAAAAAAATGTTATTCCCACATTTTTTTTCCATCTCTTTTCTTCCTGGCTTTGAAGAAATACCTGATACCAAGAGCATTCTGGACTGTGGTGAGTGATCTATTGTAAGCCTTATCAGAAAGACCACTCAGCTTGATTCCCTTTTGCCGATCGAATGGAACTTGCATCCTGTCCGAGAAGAAAAGAAAGAAATAAACTCCACCCGCAAAGAAATGCAGATCTGGATACTTACATCGAGCACGCGATCTCGAAACAGAGCACGGATCGGCAGACATCGCCCTGGAATAACACACAAGAGCATTGGATACCCTCAAGTCACAGGCGGAAAGAAAGAAGCAAGCACACTCACAATGCCAAATGCCGCCGCATCAAATTCCATCCGGCAGAGGCGCAGCAGCTCCTCCGCCTTGCGCAGCACTTCGCGATCGGCCGCCATTCCCAGCCGCCATTCCAGCGCCTTCATCTCCATGGCGCGCGAAGAACCTCGCGTTTGGAAATAGGCGGGAAGATAACGAGTTAACCTAAACCGCGAGGGTTAGAGATAAACGAACTAATGGTTTACTTTACGTCAACTATAGTCAACCAGCCCCAATTTTATTTGGAACGATGGATCGATCATACAAAACTTTTTAAGATTGTAGAAAGCTTGAGGGAATACAACGACGACAAGAGTTCTTCCTTTCTTGCAGTGAAGAACACAATCAAAAAAAGGAGATGGCTGAGTAGATCATATCTTGTTGAACGCGACAATGTCACAGCTCTGGATGTACTCTGCTGCCAGGCCCTCATTGATCAAGAAGTATGTCACTTGAAGCTATTAATACTGCTCCGTTGGATCTAACTTTTGGTGTTATGGGGTGTGATCATATTGGTATTGTGCCTATCCTTGATGTGTTGTTTGTTGGTCTCCAACTTTTGTGGGATGTGATTATATGGCTTATCCTGTTCTCAATGTTCTAACATCTCCTATTGATATGAAGTGTGATTGTGATATTGATTAGTGAACTATGGATGACACAGTTTAATTCTTGGAGAATGTTTGAGGATCAAGTTTGTGGAAAGACAATATGTACAAACTTGGGTGGATTCCAAAGTGTGATGATGAGCTTAAATATTATGGAAATAGTTTTGGAGATGAAGTGGAGATTTTGCGAAGTAGGTGTCAATATTTCAATCTGTTATCTAATCCTTACTCTTTCCCTTTTGCTCTTTCCCAACTTTTTTTTTTATTTTTCAGCCTGAGCCACTTTCTCAAGTTCCTAGTATTTCTTCTTCATATGTAGCATTTTCTTTTTTTGGCACGTCGATCATTTATGACTCTCATGATTCTAATTCTCAATCCAGTGTTAAGTTGAGTGTTTTTTATCCTCCTCATACTAATCTGGATATTGAGTGTATCCATGAAGTTGAGAATCTTGCTTTTATTTCATTGGTAGAGTCTTTGATTAGTTCTGGTATTGAGTATTTCCCTGTTCCAAGGGTTGAGTCACTTTAGCCAAAATTTTGGGTTGAATACATGTCTCACTTGTGAGTGCCACTAACAACCTTTGTTTTACTATTGCTCATGAGGAGTTTATATATTCCCTTGAGAGTGTGAATGTTGTTATTGATTTTCTCATATCAAGTGTTGAGACGGTTGTGTGGTGTGAATCTTTTGCTTATATTGTAGCTGAAATATTTTACAAAAGGAAATCCCCTATTGACCAAGTTTTAAGTATATATTCTTTTGATTTCCCATTTTTGCATTGCTAGTTGTTGCAAATTTTTCTTCCAATGCTTCTTTATCTACTTTTTCTTCTTTCACAATTATTTTTTCTCAATTTTTTTTGTTTTCTCTTTTTTGCTTTGACACTTCAAACTTTTTCTTCTTTAGAGGAGGGAGTAGAGGGGATGGATGGGAGTCTGGCCCCGATGATGGAGTGAGGACGAGCGAATACGATAGTGGAGCGAGGATAAATGATATGGATTGTCGAGTAAGGACGAGCATAGCGAGTTTGAATGAAACATCCAACCCCGACATAATGAGGCCGAATAGATGCGATAGTGGAGTGAGGCCGAACATAAATAGCGGAGTGAGAACAGTGTAGTAAGTCCAAAAGGAGCTATTGTTTCAAAACTTTTTTTTCTTCGAGGAGGGGATAAAGAAAATGTGAAAGACGAATGGAGTGAGTCTGACCTCCCCAGTGCAAAGTTATGGTTGCATGGTTGGTTTGAGCATTTGGGAGTTGCATACAAAGTTACAATTGGTTCATCAAGGTTCTATAGTGGGCTAATGATTATGCCATGGCTTTAAATTTTATTTCAGTCATGGTTATTAGCAACTTTATTGGTGGTTTTGTGGGAGTTTTAGATTCTTGTGGTAATTTATAATTGCCCAACAGAAGCTCCAAATGTTCCACCTGACTTATTATTATCACCTTTTCATCTTCCAAAAGGGAGGATGGTGTAAAGTTTGTAAATACATATATATATATATATATATATATGTATTACCCTAGCTAGGTAATACACTAATAGTAGTATAACATATTGACTGTCCATTTGGGACTAAATCTGGTCCATTTATTTTTGTATATAAGTAAAGGCCTAAACATTAATTAATATACCTATTCCTTTATCCTGAACACTTACAATATATATTTTATATATTATATGGCTTTTGGGATGGATCCAAATCTTAAAATTTGGATTCACTGCAATATCTTAATATGGGGGGTTTATGACATTGAAAAATAACTAGATATTGGTATTGTATTTGAGTTTGATATATATTTACAAATAAATATTTACTTAT